GTAAGACCTTCCCGCCACGATTTCGAAGGTCTACCTTCCCCCCGACACTACCCCCCAACCCTGCTCTGGCCCCGACCCATCCCCCCGCCCACCCTCCAACCCCTACGGGCGAAATCAAGCCCGGGAAATGGCCCGCTGCAACCACGTACGCGGGCCCCAAATTTGGGTACGCGCGTACGTGCATACGCGTATGCACGTATGCAGAGCCCACGTACGTGTACGCGGTGCTACCCAGTTTAATAGCATTGAAAGTTTCGCCAATTTGAAAAGTTTTTTCACTAAATAAAACAAAACCCACAAAACTAAAAGCTACTAGAATTTCTTCATTATGAAGTAAAATTTGTTTTGAACTTAGCTACCCAAGTTGCTAAGTGAATACTAAATAGTAAATAGCCATTACTGTCAAGAATAAGCAAACGGAAATTATAAATGATGTACATCTTCTTGAGTATGATATAAAATAAGAAGGTCGTAGTGTTTGCATAATTTGGTAGTTAATGCTGTTTGACCGTTACAAATCCAAATGCACTATAGATAACACCCACTATAGTTAACGTTGTCTAACCATTACAAATCCAAATGCACTACAAATCCAGGGAAAAAATATGTTCTGTAGAATTGCAATACAAACGAGTTTTGGCTGAGGGTCACATTAGAATTCCTCACGGAATCAGAGATAAAACTATTAAAAAGAAAATAACAGAATCACACAAAGGCACCCCCCTTTAAGCCCCTTTAGCCCCTTTAAAACCAATTTATACCCCCCTCGCCCTCCCCCTACATTCTTGAAAGCCAACTCGCAAAAAATGAAATGCGCCCGGATTTGGGATCCTCTGGGAGAGCGCAGAAAACCCAAAAAAAAAAAGAATTCTTATCCAGGCTCATTTCTTTTTTTGCGAGTTGGCTTTCAAGAATGTGGGGGGAGGGGGGTATAAATTGGTTTTAAAGGGGCTAAAGGGGTTTAAAGGGGGGTGCCTTAGTGTGATTCTGTTATTTTCTTTTTAATAGTTTTTAATAGTTTTGTAATAACCCATGTCGTAAGCCTCGCTGAAGCCGAGACCCAGGCTGAAAAGGGGAAAAGAGACCCCAGTCAAGACTCAGGGCCTGGACAAGGCACAGTTGACAAAGTCAACTGTCGGTAGTTCCAACAGTCAAAGTCCAAAGGTAACTAGCCAGACCGCAGGTCAAGCACGCACACTTGTTTGTATGCAGGTACCCAGCTAGCATCAGGTCCAAGGGAGAAGTCTGCAACTGTACAATCCGGGCCCTCAGCTGTGATTCAATCTGGACGACTGTGGGAAAATGACCCGAGGCCAGACAGCCTCGACATCTGTTACTTAAGGCTGACCTCGAGTAAGTCAAGCATTCAGTCTTGCTATGCTGCTTTGACGCTGGCTCGACTTTGACACAACGCTGGCTTCATGCTGGCTGTGCACAAGCGTTGCGGACGACGGCATGAGGTGGAGGCAGCATGCCGACACTTCTTCAGTGCGCCATGCCATGCTGATGTGGCGCTGCCTCTGGTCTACGTGGCATGCTGAAGTGGCGCTGCATCTGGTATATGTGGCGCTGCCTCTGGTCTACGTGGCATGCTGATATATATATGGTGCTGCCTGTGGAATACGTGGCATGCTGATGTGGCACTGCCTCTGGTATATGTGGCGCTGCCTCTGGTCTATGTGGCATGCTGATGTGGCGCTGCCTATGGTCTACATGGTATACTGATGTAGCGCTGCTACTCGTCAGCATTGATGATGTGGCGATTGCCGCCTGTTTTTGATTGTTGACGTGGCATTGTCCACGCTGTCTACATGAAGTGATTGGTTGCGAGGAGGAGAAAGATCGGAATCTGTGGTTGAGGGAGAACGGGTACTCACCTGGGTTTGAAGTCGATACTGGAATCTGCAATGTCTTCATGGTCTTCATGAGATTGAGTGCCACGAGGCACTTCCTTGTGTGATCAGGAATATACTTATTATCATTGTCGATGTGAAGAAGGGAGAAGCCCGGAGAAGGAGAGGGTCAGCAGGGATTATTGTCTGATTCTTCATCTTCTCCTTTGTCTGTTCCCCCTCCCCTCTCTTCTATTGATGATAATGAGATACTGTTTGATATATTCCTTCACGAATTGGAGACTTTGATGCAGATGCTGACTCTACAGGTTTAGGACGACTTCTGAGTATCTGTCAGACTGGGTTCATTACAGTTTTATCTCTGATTCCGTGAGGAATTCTAATGTGACCCTCAGCCAAAAGTTGTTTGTATTGCAATTCTACAGGACATATTTTTTCCCTCGATTTGTAGTGCATTTGGATTTGTAACGGTTCGACAACGTTAACTATAGTGGGTGTTATCTATAGTGCATTTGGATTTGTAACGGTTGAGCATCAATCTGGACAGTTCCGGACCATACAATCAAGGAACTTAACCGTAAAGCAAGAGCATACTTGTGGCCGGGCGACCCCAACAAAGAGAACTGCATACCAAAGATAGCTTGGCATTACATCACAAGGAAACCAGCCAAAGAAGGTCTTGGTATCATAGACCCCAAACAGGAAACCAAAGCCTTACACGTTAAATTGATAGCCAAACTACTGCCTAAACCTGGTACGGCATGGAATAAGCTGGCCTTGGATAGCATCAGGGGCCTAGTACCTACAGCCACACCAGCAAATATGTCCGGTCTGTTCTAGGTAATGACGAAGGAATGAAGTCCACGTATAGGGCGCAAAAATCAACGAAGAGGAACTGGTCCAAATGAAGCAAGCCCCCCTACACCATATCGGACTGAATTGCTACGGATATGGCGGGAAGTCATGCCGAAGAAGGTGGGTAGACCCAAATCCAAAGACGAGGTACTGAGGCAACCCCTTGTTTGGCAATCCGTGGGTGAGAGACGAAAGTGATCACCAACTATCCCTTAAGCCTAGAGGAAGGAGATGGCTATCGTGGATCAGACATGAGTTTGGAAAGTGAGCCATCTGTGGAACGAGGACAACAAGGACTGGGTGACAGAACAGGAACTTGCCTCCCAGCTCAAAGGATGTGAGACGAGAATCTACAATCCATTATCAACTGCATCCCAGAAGGCTAGAAGGAGTTGTTGAGCGAAGCCTCAACCTGGAAATCGGGCGAATGGGTAGTGAGGGTGCAGGATTTAACCCCCTCAAGGGCCTCTCAATTCTCTCATAAACAGCAAAGGTCGGATACCCTGGCGGTGTTTACCTCTTTCCCAATTACCCTCTCCATGCAAGGCCTCCCATCTATCCTGCATAAGGAGGTGGAAAGAACAGTCCTAAACCCTTTTGTACTCAGAAAAGTAAAGAGTGTTGGGATCATGGGCAAAAACAATCTTCAGAATAGATACGGCGATGCAAGACATGGAATTTGATCCAGCAGAGTGGGCTTGGACACCAGACAGAAGCAGAAGTCTCAAAACAAATGTCCCCATTCAGGAATACACAGTCAAGCTGGGAAACAACTTACTCCTCAACACGAAGGATCCTGACCCAATGATCAAGAACAGATGGCAGAAGTTCATAGGTCTGGACGCTAGTCAGATCCCACAAATACCATGGAAAAAAATCAAGTCAATCTGTCCGGTCAAAATCGGAAGCCTAAAATGACTCATCTCATACGTGGCTCTACCGGTTAACCGGTGCCTACATATCAGAAGAAGTAAGAACGACCCTAACAGTTCAGATTTATGCGCGGTATGTTCGGACAATGAACCAGAAGATATGCTACATTGCCTGATACGCTGTAGAGAGGCGACATAATATTGGGCGAGGGCCTCGCATCTCTGGGATTCCCTCTTCTCGACTCCCCTCCCTGAACACCCCATTCAACTCCTATGGACTAACACACCACCTCAATTCCAGAAGACAGAAAAAACGTGGTTTGGAATTATCAGAAAGGTAATGCTGTGGTCCATCTGTAAGGAAAGGTGCCCCAGAACCATCGAGGGACTTTCAACTCAAAGGGAGAAGGTATGGGCGGAGACAAGGACCTTGATTCAGGAGATTCTTGTAAGTGGCATAAGACAAGACAGTCCATGCCAGATGACGAAGAGCAACAGAGAAGAATGAAGGCAAAATTCACTAAGGTGTGGCTTGCAAGGGGCAAGGTGGCAGAGATAAATGACTTTCACATACGGTGGAAAGACTGGCACAACTCAGAAGCAGGATGGAGAAGGCAGAGATCCCAGCCAGCAGAAGGACAAGATCCATCACAGGCGACATAATATTGAAGCGCGAATTCCGAAATTGCATCTTCCATAGCTTCTTTTACTTTGCTTGCTCTTTACCATTTATCTGACAGGTGCATGCCGTGGACCTGAGAGGAAAGGTGGAAGTAACGCAAGCTGGCAGTCAATTCTCCACGATGCTGGATCAATGCTGGTCAGGGTTCCTTCGGCCGAATGGAAGGACGCGTGAGTGTGTTCATGATGTAATATTCTATTCTGACTTGCCGGTGGAATAGGAACCGGACTGATGCTCCCAGAATGGAAATGGAGCCAGGGCCATAAGGACCTGTTTTATGGGAAAAAAGAATAGAGCCTCCTCTGGTATAAGGTCACTGTCGTTTTTTCCTAGTTTCCTCCCCTGCAAAATGCAATACGGTCCATTGGTAGACCCGTCAAAGTTGGATTAATACCGAGAAGATTAGCATGGCCACTTTCACCACAACTCTCCAGTCCTCCCTCCCCAAGAAAAAAGAGAAAAAGGAAGGAAGAAGCAATCTGCTGTTGGGTCCCCCATGGCCCAGTGACAGAATCCTAGCAGAGGAACCTGGTTAAGTAAAATGCACATGAAACATCCATGGCTTTGCCACCAAAGCAACTCCAAACAGTCATAACTATATTGGACGTCAGTCCTCTTACCAATTGGATCTGCGATGACGTATGCAAGGGCTGACCCGAGCAGCGCTCCCCCTAAGGACCCGCTAACCTGTACAGATAGAAGGCATGCCATACCAGAAAATAAGCAAAATGGCACTCAGACCACATCCTGACAAAACAGTGGATAGCTAAACTCGACGGAGAAAGCTGATGCTGAAGGTAGACAAGCTATTCTTCAAATAGCAAAGTTCTATTTTGCAGTGCGACTCAAGCCCAAGCGACTAGAAGCGAAAAGGAATACAACCGACCTCATTTCCAGGGCAAAAGTTGTGACATCATGAAAAGAGCACCAAAGCGAAAAGGTAAAGACAAGAGTAGCTGGATCATAAACCGATCAGAGCAAAGGTGGGGTAGAGTAGTCGAGGGTGAAGCAGGAGAACAGCAAACAGAACAACATCGAGGAATCAAAGAGGGAGAAAATGACAACAAGGAGGACAAGAAGATCAAAGATAAGCAACATGGGGACAGCAACAAGTAGGGAGGTAAGGGGGGTTAAACAACCAGTACCTTTCCCAGCTTGAGAAACAAATATGTGGCGGTTAATACGGGGGGTCAGCCAAACGAACGCCTGGTCGCAGTTGGAGGACCGGGCATAAACAGGGAAAAAAATAAAGAACACAAAAACTTATTAATACCAAAAAAAACTTAAAAAAAGAAAAACAACGAGATAGAACTGTAACTTCCGTAA